GCTCACTGCAAGCTTCCCCTCCCTGGTTTAAGCCATTCTCCTGCCTCAGCCTCCCGAGTAGCTGGGACTACTGGCGCCCGCCACCTCGCCCGGCTACCAGCTATACTTTTTTACACCAAAGGAACAAAGGATAAAGCTAAATGTTCTATTACATCTTCACATTTTTTCTCACAATTTTTAATCTTTGCATAGAGGTTTCAGAGTTTTCCATGGTATAAACGGTCTACTGTTGATGGGTAGTTAATGGTTCTGTCGTCCAAAAGAGCCTGCTTTTCCTGTCTGTGAAACCAGACAGGAGACAGGTTCATTAAGAAGGAAAGATAATTCCTTCAATCCTACTGGCCCAGAGACATCTGTTCACCGCCTTGCTCAATGTCTCCCCAAAGAGCATACTGAAGCAGTTTTACGGTCCTTTTTTTTTTGATACCGGGTCTCGCTCTGTCGCCCAGGCTGGAGTGCAGTGGCGGGATCTGGGCTCATTGCAAGCTCCGCCTCCCGGATTTACACCATTCTCCAGCCTCAGCCTCCCGTGTAGCTGGGACTACAGGCGCCAGCCAACACGCCCAGCTAATTTTTTGTATTTTTAATAGAGATGGGGTTTCACCGTGTTACCCAGGATGGTCTCGATCTCCTCACCTCGTGATCCGCCCGCCTCGGCCTCCCAAAGTGCTGGGATTACAGGCGTGAGCCATCCCGCCCGGCCAGCAGTTTTACAGTACTTTTTATGCCTTTGGTTAGCTGACTTTTACCAAGGGAGTTTCTTTCTTTCTTTCTTTCTTTTTTTTTTTTTAAGAATACAAACATTTTTTCTTTTCTTTTCTTTTTTTTTTTTTTTTGAGATGGAGTCTTGCTGTGTCGCCCAGGCTGGAGTGTAGTGGCGCAATCGCTGCTCATTGCAACTTCCGCCTCCCGGGCTCATGCCATTCTCCTGCCTCAGTCTCCCGCTGGGATTACAGGTGCCAGACACCGCACCCAGCTAATTTTTGTATTTCTACTAGAGACAGGGTTTCGCCATGTTGACCAGGCTAGTCTTGAACTTCTGACCTCAGGTGATCCGCCTGCCGCGGCCTCCCAAAGTGCTTGTATTACAGGCGTGAGCCACGAGCCGGCGTAAGAACACGAACTCTGGAACCATGTAATCCTTGCTTTAGCCCTTCTGAAGCCCAGCAACCTTGAACCTCGTGTCTTTCCGTGCCTGAGTCAGTTTTCCTCTGCATATAGTGGGTAATAGTACGACCTCCTGGTGGGAGTTCATATTATACAGTCAGCGCTTAATGTTGGTCCGTCTGTACTCATTCCTTTACGTGGGTAAACTCACAGTAATGCAAGTTTTCTTTTATTTTTAGTTAACATGATATATACACGCATGATGACAAGCTCTGCTGCCATTATGTCCTTGGACATTTCAGCTGTCGCCAATTATTCCACCATTATGAAACAGCGGTGTGATGAACTTTGAACTTTAGCGAGAGCTATTTTCTTTTCCTTTTTTTTTAATTTTTTGGACTGAATCTCCCTCCGTCGCCCAAGCTGGCGAGCCATGGCTCTATCTCGGCTCACTGCAAACTCCGCCTCCCGGGTTCACGCCGTTGCAGGAGCTATTCTCTCAGGCCAGGTTCCCACTGGGGCAAAGGGTACTTTTCTGAGCCTGGCTCTGTGTAAGGCAACCGGAACTCGGCTGCCCTTAGTAAAGATGGCGGGAAGAACGGCGTCCTTGCCTGTCAGGCTGCGGCATCGGTGCCCTCGCTCAACATGGCGGCCGTTTGTGCCCGCCCCCTCCGCTAACTGGTGGGTTAGTCGGTCCCAACGCAGTAGACGAAGGCGGCGGCGATGGCGGCGGGGATAGTGGCTTCTCGCAGACTCCGCGACCTACTGAGCCGGCGTGAGTCACCTCTTGACGTGGGGGTGTATCACGCTGTCGTGCTGTTATAGCAGCTGTAGGACGGGGAGGCCCATCCGGGGTCACGAAGGGCCCGAGTCCCCTAAATTCAGGGGTGCGTGTCCTCCCTTTTGAAGGGCTCCCTAATTCTATAGGCCTGTGTCTTGGAGTCTGGGGTCATCAAAGGCTCTTCCTTTCTCCGCAGGATTGACAGCCTCCAACTACTCGGGCCTCGGTATTAGGCTTCGCCTCACTGGCTCCTCTGCACAAGAGGAAGCCCCAGACCACAGCTATGAGTCCCTTCGTGTGACATCTGCGCAGAAACACGTTCTGCATGTCCAGCTCAACCGGCCCAACAAGAGGAATGCCATGAACAAGGCCTTCTGGAGGTGTGACCTGCAGATCCTGGAGGCCTGCCTGCCGGGGGAGGCGGGGGCTGCGGGACTGAGCCAGAGTGGAACCTTGTGGGGAGATGGACTTGAGGGCAGGGTATTCCCACCCCATTT